ACTTCTCCACAATGACCTTACTAAGACCAATAGGCCGTAGACGAAGTCAGGTCCCTCTTCCTTTGACTGCAGATATGGTGCTACAACTATGCGCTTTGACATGCATGTGCGTTGGTCCGACGTTTACATTGTACGAAGAATTCCGTCACGAGCATTCAGCCGGTAGATAACTGTCGATTTTAACCTAACTTACCACCAACCTATCAGGAACGTTAGTGGAGGAAAACGTCGAATTTCACGAAAGTAAATCCTTTTATAGCCGGGCGAGCCGTTTCAAGGAACGTGAGGTTGCACCGTCGGGAATTATTAGGGGGTAATTATTAGATGAGACTTGTATTGACTCGCATATTCCTTCACTTGTTTACGAACGAGTGAGCTAGCAATGCATAGTTCATTATCACTTTCACTTGTACGTGTTTATATTTTGCTTTTGGTGGTTCCGAGAAAAGTAATATGGTACAACTTACGAGAGCAAGAGGCTTGTCTAATTTTTTAAAAGACGTTTTCCAAAGTGACTTATTATCCCTGTATTCAGTCCTGAAGTTACTAATGCTAGTATTCTCGGTGAATGCTGGTGAAAGATGCCGAATTCTCCGAGGGGTCTGTTTGAATTCCATTGGGCCTGAAATATCAATCTCATGCACCTTGGCATCTGAGGAGGCTGCGGAGGTTCGGGCACTCCGAAATTTGATTTGGACGGATGATCCGTTTTTCCTGTTATACGTTTCCGGCAGAGCGTTATTATTTCTTTGCTTTGGCAAATGGGCAGACACTATTATGTGAGGTTTTGTTGCGTTACGGAGGGAGTTCGGGGAAGAGAGCACTCCTTTAACATTCGGCGCTGCCCTTTGTGGTGATGAGGAATGAGGACTACGCTGACGTAAGCGCGGAGTCATCGACATTGTGGATGCCTGAGAATGAACGATATAGGTCGAGACTCGTGAAGCTTGACTGTCGAGGGCGATAGGGGGCGATGTGGTGGTTCGAACAGCCTGAATTGAAGGGTTAATTTCAAATGGATGCTCTTTAAACAGGGTGGTTACAGCGGAATTTGTGCATGGGTCCATTGTGCCTGGCTTCCAGGGTGAAGAAGGCCCAGTGGGGATCGCCAGCAAATCTGTAAAAAGGAACCACATCTGGGAGTTGTGAATAAGCACGCCAATAAATATGCTGCTTACTTTTACACTATTTGTTGGAATTGTGAAGTAGCATTCGAAATCTGAAAATTCGGATTTTGCCCACTGAACTTGTTTGTTAAAAAGAGAATTGATCAGAACATTACTGCCACCTACTACCTCACATGTGAAGATTCCAAGCATAAACACGCAGTACTTGGGTAGCCGACGCTTACCACCAAATAAGTTGAAAAGTGGGAAGTCACGAACAATTAATTTTTAGTTTTGATATCTATATGCCATTGAAGCACAAGTCAAACGAGAGGTAAGATGGAAGTTTAACCTTTAATTAGCATATAATAAATAAAGGGGACAAATGTAATTTCATTTGCGATAAGTGCAAGATCCACAAGCTTCAGCGTGAATAACAGAATCAGGACCAAATAACTTCATTAACGCAGACACCAATTCACTTGAGACCCAATTCGCCGTAAATTCTATATTGTTTGTTGACATCAAACTAACAGTGTGTGTCGTTCTCAACAGACACTCAAACTGGCCTAGCCTAACAACCTATGTAGTTTAGCAATTTCAGACTGTTTTTTCAAGGATGGAAAACCAAAAGCCACTGCTTTACCTTAATTAAAGCAGGCACTAAAGCTTGCACAACTAGGATTTAATCAATAGGCCCTGGGAATAGAAATGGACTTACGGATTTCTCCTCTCATTTGTGCTGCGGCCTCACAAGGCAAGAGGAACCACCGAAGCTTTTGGCTATCTGCATCAAAAGAGGCTGTGTCGTCAGACACAGGGGAGACTTTTGCAGACCTGACAAACTCAACAGCATGCTTTAGTTCCACTTTGGCAGCTAGGAGACATTCCTAAAATCATCGAAAACAGTTAACGTGCTCACCATGAAAGGCTATTTTTTAAAGCACGAAAGATGACATCTAAATGACAAAGTGTCGGTCTTACTTGACGCACCTCTTAGTACGCCATGTGGCAGGACAAAGGTGTGATAACACGTAACACGTTTTCAGCTAACGTAAACCAATCAGCAAGAAATGACACCGAAGTTATGTTTGCACAAGCTCAACAGAATCAACGGATACTGAAAAATAAGTATTGCAGACAGCTCAGAGTAGAGACAGAAAAAGCAAAACATGTTGTATTTGGTTTCACGAATTGGTGCCTTAAAGCTGTGTTAATTTCCCAAATAAGAGTATGCTACTTCACACAAAAAACTAATGATGGGTTAGAGGGAAAAGAGATCTTAAAAACGCACGTACAACGATCCGAATTATGGCAGATTCATGCTTAAATTAGCAATAAGACACGAAGGAAATACAAAAAATCACTTGGAAGTCCTTGGGCAGAGCCCCATGGGCCTTCGGTTTGCCCCGGCGCCAGACCATTCCCTCACGAGTGTACTTGATGTGCCCTAACCACTGGCGGTCCTCGAACTGGTCGTGTCTCTGGTGCTTCCATTCCCCAGTCGAAGCATTGTAAGAATACAGCGGGAGGAATGCCCACCCGTAGTCGGCGACGAAGCACACCGCATCGAGTATAAAGTTGGCTTCCTCGTCTGACATGAAGTAGGGAATCGAGAAGCGGGTAAACCCCGGTCTAGGTTGGAAGATGAGGCAACCAATTAAGAGTTTAGTCAATCGTAGGCTGATTACTAGATAGAAGGTCGACAAATTAAGGACTACATCAGCCTGATCGAGTCAGGTTGAACTCGTCTGTGTGTGGAAAGTTAATCCGTCACGTAGGGCTGAATTCGGGGTCAACGTCAATTTAGTTTATTGAACACACCCACATGGTGTTTTCCTCACACTTGTTAGCTGTGATCATAACTAATTTAGTTGCGGAAACAAACGAAACCAAAAAGCAGAATAAATTGAATCGAAAATAAAGTGACATCATCTGACATCTTGATTCAGTTACCCAATGGGTGAGATGCATTTAACGATGCAGAGAGCCCGGTTAAAATGAACTCTGATGTAGAGACTTTCCTTTGTTTAAAAACTCATGCCTACACATTGGAGAATGCAATTGCAAAAAAATTGCGTTTTAACCGAAACAAAAAGAAACTACAATGTGCTGACGGATGTAGACTTTGTAATCGATTATGACATAATGTTCTTTTAAAAATACTTCAGAAATTAGGACTTAGAAGAGTAATGTAGGTTAAAAATTAAGGTGGCCAAAAGACATACCTAAGAACTTCACGAGAAGAGTTGTCAAAGCACTTTGAAACACGACACGATGACAACCCGCTGAAAAAATACCAAAATAACGTTAACGTAGAACACAAGGATTGAGAGGTCATTACGTTTTAAAACGACCGGAGAGCTTAAAGTGCGTCCCTTCCTTCAAGCATGTTTGTCAGTGTTGGGAATGTCGGTATTCCTTAAGACAATTATCTCCGTCGATTCATGATTGGTGACTTCTAATCACACATTTTCTCATTTTCGACCAATGCTTTAGCTAAATAATCTCAGTGGTTGCACATTCTACCTAATACCAAGAGTTCTTATATGTGCTGATCCTTGAGATGGGGGTAAAGGTTACACAAGGCACATATGAGCTGTCCCTTGTAACATGTTATTCGACCTTTCACTAAAGCAGAAAAGCTCACTGTTTGAGTTTTATCCTTGTCCTTGACTTAGAAGGGAGGAGCTTATTGGGTACCTAAAGGTGTGCTCTTGGTTACGGCGAAACAGTGAGTCGGTAGGGAGTGTCAGAATCTTTGGCATAGCGACGCTTTATGAATAATTTTCACAAACAAGGAAAAGCTGCCATGAAATAACGAAGTTTTCGAATGTGGTCTGCATGACAACCGCAGCCCTACCTTTAATGAGAGGGATTATCTAAAATTTCAGTGTAATTAAACGATATATTAAGCTTGTGAATGACTAGCCTCGTGACGAGAGCATCCTCGTAGAGTTTGGCAAGGCCCTCGTCGATTCCAAGGAGGTCCATCGCATAAGGTCCAGCGCAAACACACCCAGAGCGGCACTGGATTCCGAACAGATCGTTTAGCAGAGCTGACACGAAGGTGTGATGCAGAAACATGACGCGATCACTAGGTCTCTGTTCATCATGGTCTTTGGTGATGGAAGATATCTCGGGGAAAACGTGACGAATAATCACGGAGAAAATTGGCAAACGCGTCGCCGCATCGCCGCCTAGCACGAGGAGGTTGTTAGTCGGCTTAAACTTTTCCCAGGCTCGTCTGAATTAAAATAACCGAATTAAATGACTAGCGATTCATTACTTAGTAATTTTTCGCACTACTTGATAAACATTTGAATAAAAAAATGGTTCATGAATAGCCAAGGATTAAAGAAAACGATGAAGGTACTCCGTGAATAGCCTTTGCGGTAACCACAAATCACTGCTACTTGACAGCCGGGACGATGGGTCTACTGGACAACAGCTGACTCTAAATCTGTCCACGACAGCTTAATGTCGGACAGTAGAACGAGAGACGTAATTAAAGTGCTGTGTAAGTCTGGTTATAAGACCGTATCGCATTAAAGTGAAGTGGGGTTCGGTGGAGATTTCGACAACTCGTTACAAGGGCTTAGTTGGATGATGGCGAACTGAAGGTTGACGCAGCTGTGGTCCTACCTAAATTTGTCCCATAGTAACCTGAAGGTTGGTCACTGACTGGGCTTCTGACATCCTGGGAACTGATTACTCACCAACAAACATCTAGAGAGCTGTTTTTAATAAAATATTATAGGACCTGAAGCTCAGAGAAAAGGCAGGTATTTATTGGTTTTGACTCCTAGGGGAGGGAAAAGACCTGGAAAGATCATACCAACAAAATTCAAATAATTTGAGACAGCAAGGAAAAGGACATCACCATGGCAGACAGTAAAGCGTTAGACATTATGCAGCACGCTATTTGCATTTAATAAAGCCATTAGCTGCTGGCACTATCTTGGAAAAAAATAGGTACTTCGGACTAGCGGATCCAACACTGTGTAGCGCCTCCGACTATTTAGTAAAGCCTAGTGCACGCAAACACAATGGACGAATGATTGGAAGGAAGATATGCTAGAGACGCACAACCTGCAAACGCAAGTACTGACTGCAATCTGCCCACCGTACTGTTTTTTCTGCCTGCCTAAGCTGTAAATCGAGAGCACACCACAGGATCATAACAAATACCGAAGCTGACTAAGGACTTAATTAAAGGAGTGAAGCAATTGCTCTACAGTAACAGAAAGGCGTAAGTTGAGGTCTTGGTAACAACAAATACCGAATACTAGTGGCAAATTTCTTCATTGACCAGAAACTGCTTTTCATGTTTACCTTTTGACCCAATGGTATGCATTCATGTTGTAACAACACAAGTAGGAAAGGTTCTGAGGACTTTCTGGGAACTAAGATTGATTTGGATAAAGAAATCAGAAACTTAAATTTTGCACGGTGGATTAAGTGGTGAAGCACGACAACCGACGCGGTATAGCTGATCAAAGTCTCACGCTGACGGAGTTGACGGCACGGTAGAGAACTTTGTGACGCTAAGAGCATTGATTAGTTACTAACTACTAATCAGTAGTTCTGAGTTGTAGCGATAATTATTAAGGCATCTGCTTTCCACTGGTCAAATGCGGTTTTATTGTTCGACTGCCAGGGGTAGATCACTGGCAATTAGAGATAGGATTGTTAGCACCAATATGTTATTTTACATCAAACGTTGTTTCAAAAAGTGAATTTTTTTGAATACCTCTTAGACGCAAAGAAACTGTTTCTTTTGTAAAAAGAATCAGGATTGGTGATGAAAAGTTGATATTTTACAGGGAAACCAATCGAAAACGATAAAGACACAAGCGTGACGAGCGAGCACAAACCATACAAGCAGACTAATGACAACGAAATAGTATCCTGTTGATTAGATAGGATTACAAAGATGCTGCCTATTTTGAGCTGCGTCAAAGAAATCTGAGTAAGACTTCCAGATTTGACGAATCGCAGAAGAACTGCCTTTTATCACGAAGATGCGGGACCTCACACGATTTCGGTAACTTTTGGAAAAGCAAAGGGGCTCGGGTAGATAGTGATGTTGCGTCCCCATCAGGTTGCCCCGCATTTCAAAGGTTGTGAAATTCACTCAATGGTAAAGCTTTCACTAACGATGACGCCATAAGGTCACGCCCGATTCAGTTCTTGCCAATTAGGGTTATGCATTATGAGCCAGGAACCTTTAATTTGTAAAAAGTTAATGATAGCTAAGTGGAAGAAATGGAACTTGCATAATTGATGAAAGTTTATTATTTGTACAAACAAATAAGCTTTACTTAACACTTTTAATCCATAGCAACTTTATTCTAAACTAATTACCTTGTCACGCAAACCTGATAGCCAAAGACGTAGCCGTAAGAATTCCTCGTACTAAACTCATATTGACTGCCCTACATTGATTTTCCTTGGGGTCAGTTTGGGTAAGTTAGTTGGTGTTGGAATATCGTACGGTCAAGATCAGGCGCTATCCGTATTTAGTGGATCAATGGTTTGATCGAGGAAACATTAAAAGTTGTGTTACTCGAGGAACCATAATAAAGAAAATGAGTTGAGATATAAGAAGCATAACAAACGCACGCACACACAAACAAACGTACTTAACAATTTCCTCCTCGCGAGCGAAAATAACTTCAGAGGTGACCGCTTGTTTTAATTGCATAACCAAACCAGCACGAATTGATTCTACGATTGCTGGTGTCCCCCCATCTTCACGCTCCTCAACGTCCTAGAGTGAATTGCAGAATTTTGGAAGACAATAACAAATAAAATAAACGACTTCAGAGGTATTTCCATCTATCTAACAATCATAATTCATTTAATAGGTGTATTTGTTGTCGTCTTTCTGAATTGGGGATGAGCACACTGCTAGTGACTTCGTTAATTCATTGATTTATGGCAAACGTACATTAAAGTCTGTAAAAAGGCTTTTACTACAAAACAAACTCACTTGCAAGTAGACTTGATTTTTTCGGCGGACAAAGCAAACACTACCACCACCACAGCCATCAGGATATTTCTCTCCAGCCTTAAAAAGAAATTTTTTTGCTATAAGTACTCCAGGAGTTTGAACACCACCAACAAACTTGTGCATCGAAAAGTACACAGCATCCTTGTAAACCAGATCACGGTCCGGCCTAAAGGAAAAACTGGTTCAGGTGATAACATTAAATTTTCCGTCAGAAAAATAATTAATCTTACCCGGTGACAACAGGATTCATATCAATTTTCACGTACGGTGCAGCGGTGGCATAATCCCAGAATACAAGCCCACCGTACCTGTGAACGAGAACCGAAAATCGATCTACATTAACCAAGATACCAGTCACATTTGATGCGGCAGCCAGGCACACAATCAAAGAACATTCGAGTTTTTTTGCCATTTTCTGCTCCGTCTAAAGTAAAACAAGCCAGATTAAAAGTTGCCGTTCCTGCATATTTTATATATACATTAATTTACCGAAAGCACTTCCTCCAAATTGTGGATGGACACATTCCCACTATTGTCAGTGTTAAGACGGACTATCTTTGCAGCCAGATGTCTCCAAGGCAGCATATTAGAGTGATGCTCAAAGGGACCCGTGATAACAATTGGTGGTTTTTCAAGATGGAGGTTGTGAATAAGTTTATGCACAGCACCAGTACAGCCACTGCCAACGAAGAAAACAGCATCAGAATCACCAGCTCTCACAGCGTTTCTAACGATGTCTTTCGCCTCATATCGGTACATTGTCGTCTGTAGGGACGTTACGCTGGTCGTAGTGTGCGTATTTCCGTAATTTGGTAGCACCTCGTTGTATATGAAATCTTCTATAAACGACAGTGAACGGCCTGAGGCAATGTAGTCACAGTATACCACTAAAATTGCACGGAAAGTTACAATGATTAAGGGAATCTGTAGTAAAGCTCATTATTGCTAACCAAAATATGAATAAAATATAACAGCCACGAGAATAAAATATTTTAGCTTTAATACATATTCCAAGCCGGTTAGAAAATGGGACCATGACAATGCTGTTTAAAACTAAGAAGCTGCTGAACTGAAGCAACCAAAATGTATGAGATATTTGAAAGGGAACATGCAACTACAAATAACGCACTGATTCCGCAAAAATGCACAGGTATATTAAAATTTTACAAACACAAAAAAGACTGTCTTAGGTTAGTGATTTCTGAGATTCAGGTTAATAACAAACTACGCTAGTAGCTACATAATGTATAGTCATACCTCGTCGATCACCAAAACCACCACGGAATACCCTGTCATATCCAATAACACTTTTATTTATGTAGTCAAAAAACTCTTCACTGGTTGAAAATTCACGGTGAGCTGTCTCATCAGGATCCTCAGAAACAGTTGATTTTGTGGCAACAGATGATATACGATAAAACGTTGAGTTTATGTGCGAAAGATCCGGTATTTGTGGAAGTGTATAGAATTGACGATGGCAAGAAGCTAAACGGTGTGTCGCAGACGACCCCTCCAGCATCTCTAACGGGCCAACAAATAAAGTCAAAACTCGCAACACACGCCAAAGATTAAAACTACAAGAGATAAACTACATTACCCCTTAATCCCAATAATCTGGATTCCACTTCTATGTGTAAAAAAGCATCTACTCAAAATTAATTATAGCATATTTTGAGACAAAATATCTCATACGTAATTGTAAGCGGAAAAGAATACAGGTCCAATTTCATTTTCCGTTGTGTCATTTACATTTAATTTTCTAGTTCCCTTTAAACGATAAACCCCATATTCAACGTAATACGTTTGTAATAAATTCAATAATTAAAAGTAACATGCAACTTCATGCTGATTACACTAGGTCTACTGTTTACCATTTATGAAAAGTGATTTGTTAAAGGAACAAGACACATTGTTCTAAAATTTCTATTCCGCCCTTTTTGGCTTTAAGAAGGCTACATTTAAGAAAAAATTTAAAAATTTTATGTAGTAAATTTGTGTTGAATTCACTGCTTAACATCCATCTTTACATTTGTCTAGACAGCTTTCCCCATAGTGCATAGTTGAAAAAGAGATCTTGAAATGTTGTGAGAGGAATTCCATTATTTTGATCAAGCAAAATATTATCCTTAGGATTGTGATTTGAGAGCTAAAAGTAAGTGTGGGTTGTATAATTTATTTAAATTTTAACTTTTAAAGTTTTCCGCTCGTATACATGCAAGACGTATTGTTTTTTTAGACCATGTACTGCATTGTTTTTAACTTTGGGATTAATTACTTTGTGTAGATGTACACTAAATGTCCCTGTTAGAAACCTCTACTTATGAATAAATAAGCTCTTGATGTGCTAGATCATTTACAAAATTCCTTTTTAAACATTTGCGTCATAATCATGCGATAAAATCTAATTATAGGAGAATCTAAATGTTGAACCTTTTTGATACTACGACATAATCATAGGTTAAGCTTCCTAAATGTGTGTTTCTGACTGGAGAATATAAATCGATACTTACAATGCAGCCGGTGATATTAGTCTGTTAGCATTTGTATCTTAACCCAAATGATTGGTCAAGACCTGTCTATGTAAGCCCATTATTTCCGTATAGTTAACCTGATAGTTAAAGATTGTACGTGTTTTGTTCCAGAAAAAAAGATAAATCCTCATTTTTGCTGCAAAGTAAGATTTGCTTAAAGTATAGAAGTCGCCAAGTAAAAGTGGAATTTGCAAGCTTCGACTCTAATTTCAAATTCACACTTAGTTGATCCTACAAAAATTCACAAGAATAAAACAGGCACCTCACCCATGTTTTAGATCCAGTTTGACCATGATAATAATTTTGATTGATTTTTCCTGCATTTGGAAATATGTACTATTGCCAACTTTGAGTCTCATTTCTATGTCGTCAATAACCGTATGCCCATAGAAACTTACGTCATTCGCCCACATGGTTTTTCTAATTAAAAAAATGAGCCTGATTTTAAGGCTTGTCTTTAGACCAATTTTGCGCAATAGAAACTTGGTATATCTACAAAAATTCGAAATAAAGATGGCTAGCCTAGTGATTTCCTTTGTTTGTCGTTTTATTGGATTTCTTGCACACTAAAGTGATCCGTTTGTTTTAAGGGCTACACTTTTATCTCATATCGCATGTTCTAAAGTTTATTTTGACACAAGAAAATTTTCTACATGAACGCATCTAACGCATTATCAAAGTTGTTCAACGATGTACCTTTCTTAACCTAATTTTAGGGTGGGAAACTTGGCATGGTTATAAGCCCCGAACGCCTATAAACTGCGATCTACTTTGATTATTTTATTCACATTGTTCTTTGTAGTTGTGAGCAATTAAAATCTCTCCCAATTCTTAACATTGACAAAACGTTGCGAATAAATTTTAGGCAAAATTGGTCTTACGGGAGTAAATAGCACACAGCGCTGTGTATTCTTAGTGAAAAATATGCAGGCTTGAGCCATTGAAAACAAAGTTTTTTCTCGGCAAGGCTTTAATGGCTCATTATGGTGTCCAGATGAGTCATTCTTATCATAAGGTGCATTGCGTGTTCAAGTGGTCGTGTTTACAGGTGTGTAGGATGGGGAGAGCCAATCAAATAGGGAAATCAATGCAATGTGGACACAGGTGCGCACATTTATAATAGCCTATTTATAGAAAAATGAATGGATTGTAGAAACTGTTAAAGAATATAGTACAAGAAAATGGGCTAAATTACCCTGCTTTTTAGAAGGGACTTGATCAACGCTTTTGCAGTTTAAGTATGTCAGCATTTATGGGTTTTAGAAAATCAACACGTTCAATTGTTTTATTCAGAATGCGGACAGAAACTATCAAAGTTTTAGGTATTGCTGATATTTGAATTTTTTCTTACCTCTACCAACATTCAGAACACATTTTTGTCCACCGTAATCAGTGGGCCAGATACACATCGGTTAGAGGCCTTTGGCTGACACACTCGCAAGCGTTTGAATAAATTTGCAGCTACAGAAGTTGGAATCACCAAGCCCCAAGGTTCGGTCGACTTCGATGATGTTTAGCATAGCAAACTGTGCAATTACTTCACCGCCATTGATCATTATTAGTGTATTCAAACGTTCGGGTTCTGTAATCATCTTTTTAGGCCACTTACGGGTTTATTTACGTTCTTTGACCATTTGTAATCCATATGTAATCTTCTTAGTAGTAAATTTATCTAAAAGGGTGATTGCTTTTGATATAACTATGCTTAGTAACTAGAAAAAAATTGTTTATTTACTTATAAAATAAATTTTCTTTGCATAACGCGTAAATTTACATCAGTATTACAAGGAGACAAGCACACCTAGAAATACGATTCCATAGAGTCAAAACTAGTAGTCAGCATACCTCCACATTGATTACTAACACTGTTAAACGCGTTACTTAAACTCAAAGAAGACACCCTAATTTAGGAACGTTAAAATTCACTAGCTACAATGTTGGAAGGAATCAATCAATCTCTTTCTTTTGAAAAACTGGTAGATCCTATACCCTTACGAGTATTATAAAAGTGTGTCATCTAACATGAGATGATCCCTTACAACTTGCGTTCTGGAGGCGATTCATTTTAGAATGTCTCCTAAATAGCGTTTAAACAGTATCAAACCTAAAGTTCTATTCTTTAACCCTCAGACAGATTTCAAACATGGCAGGCCATGTTATGGAAGCGACTAAATTGCTCCACACTCCAGAGTTTGATACAGGGCTCGATCGACGGTCAGTGTATTCACTGACACGCCGTACAGACCAAATGCAGTGTACTATCAAGTGACCGCTCCCTCTTCCGATACCATCCACAATCGCGCAGCAGGCATTGGTCATATTTTATTTTTCCGGGATTGTTTTTGTAGTGCAGCTACGGCCACGATAATGACTAGCCCACCCATAGGTGCTGGTATTCTGAAGAACTTTGGTTTTCTATTCGACCTTAAAGACAAGAAACCAATCGGTCCACTAGCTAAACTCGTCATCAAAGTTCCTTTTTAATAAAAGTCAGCAAACAGACGCAGGATTGTAATTGGTCTTCCTTCGAAAGTAATTAGGTTCATGCAACTCAATAAATCGCCAGACTAAAATTCTACATTCAATTGATAATTTCCTACAGCAAACCCAAACTAAGTTCTTTCACGTCCTAGTTTGCAGGCGCCACCAAAAAGTGTTCAGAATCATCTGATGAAATCCACGAATATCTCTTCAAGTAAATATACAGCTCAGTAACCACTCCTAGCACATAGTGGCTGCCAAGAGTAGCCGAAACATAAAAAATTTACCTCGAAACAAAATTGTAGAAGCTTTTCTGTGGATGGCCATGACATCGAAAGCACTCAGAATCCCCGTAATGGCTGCTGCATCTTAAGAAAAAAAGCGAAATGATTTTTGTTGATACCATTAGCATTGTGGCTACATGACACGATATTTAGAATACCCATGTGATTATTACGGGGCCATCAAGCAATCCAGTGTACGTTCTCTGCTTACGAAGGACTTTTCTACGTCAGCGAGGCCACTAGACTCCCTTTCCGACGATGGTGCCTGGACTCCAAGTGCGCCCGGCTCCCCAAGTTGGTTCATTTTGACTAATTTGTAGTGTTGCTACTACCCTACAACCTAGCCAAGTTAGTAAGAAGGAGATAGTCGAGTGCCGTCACAGCTGTTTATTGACTGGTATGCAGGAAAAGGCCTCTTAGAATCAGTGGGGCACAACCAGTGCACAAAAGTCAGTCGTCTAACTTATGCGCGACTCGCAATTTTGAATTTTCGGAGTGAATATAGATTTTTTTGCTTGAACATAAGATAGTGGGTCTGCTGAGCTCCAACATCATCGAACCAAGTCATAAAATAAGACAGGGGTATGTTTAGGTATTGTTTTGCAGAATATAAGTAAAGTAGTTATTGTTAAACGACGAGTCACGTCTCAGACATTACAGGTTACTGTTCAGGAACCTTAACCTTGATAGTACAATACATTTCCGAAAAATGGATTTTTCATAAAGTTATTGTTATCATTATTCCTGGTTGGCATGCACAAGTATCTAAAACACTCGACTTAACTTGCGGCTTTATCATAAGTTACTGAAGATAGACAATGTCACAAAATCTTAAGACAGTTGCTATATAGGTCGATCATGTTTTATGAATAAAAGTTACAGATACTGTGCGGGACATGATAATTCGTAATCTGGAAGACACACGGGTATTCTTAGGTGTGTCATTTTGTTTCTAAAAGGCATCAATGAATTTTCTCTAATGCAATCTTTAGGCATAAGTAATGCAAAAATTAAGTAGATTGTTGTGCCTTATATATGGCAAAAAACCCTTAGGCATTGCCTCCAATTTTTGAATATTTTGCCAAATGTATATTGTGGTAAAAAACCACAACTAAATGTTTAAACACCTTCACGAATGTCTTAACAGCAGTCTGAAAATTATTTCAGGTGCAAGATTTGGTATTTTACAAATTTCTGGGTGCATTGTTCCTGCTAAACTTCAA